TCTTCACACCTCTCAGTGATTAGGCAAAAAGAGTTTTTATTTCATAGGGAGGAGAAAACAATCTAGAAAGACCAGGGTGTGGGTAGGCGGTCTGAATAGGAATGACATGATGGGAAAGAAGATCAGAGAAGGTTTTACCTTGAGGCCAGCCTACTCTGTGGAAGGGATGTTAAGAAATGGCTGGGTGCTGGCTCAGGTTGAGGGTAAGTCAAAGTTGGGATCCTACAGGAAGAAGAGAATCTTAACCAAATTATAGCTAACAGGTGTTTTGTTCTGGCTACTCAATGGGGACGGCACTTTAATCATTTATGAAGCAAAGATGGGAATTTGGAGGATCTGTGGCTAGCCTTGTCATAGGTAAACAAGGAGCATCCCTGAGTTTTATTTAAGTCATATGGGGAAGTGTGGGTTTTTACGGTAAGCTGTTGCCTAGAACACAAAAGGAGGGGTGGGGGTTTCTTAAACTTTGCTATTTTCTAGGATCATAGGGGTTGGGTGAAGTTCAACATTGTCGGGGATGTAGGAATAATGAGGACTCCCTAATGAATGAGGTGTGCATGGGAGGGGTTTCATTTCATCAGAACATCAAGATTTTGAAAGATTGCCCTAATAAATAATAATAGTAACTTTCTGAGTGCCAGGCACTCTTCTAAGCACCTTACATCTCTCAACTTATTTAAATAATCCTCACAGCCATCCATTGACACAGGCACAATTATTCTTCCATTTTATAGGGAAGGAATTTGAATTCCTCAAAGGTAAGTAATTTTGTCACACTGCCAGTAAGACATACTACTGGGGCTGCGACTCATAAAGCCCTTGTGTCCCAGTAGCTGACCCAACCTCTTTTCATGGCTTCAAACTATTCCTTAATCCCAGAAAGAGAGGGGATAAAACTCATGGAACAAGGGAGAGGGGACTTACAGTGATTTTCCCATTTCCAAAAACAATAGACTCAACAAATACATATATGTGAGAGAAGTTGTGGGACACAGAATAAAGAAGAACATAGAATACCAGAAAATACAAGTTTGGAAAGAGCAGCAGCCAATGGAACTTGACAAAAGAAAATGACAGTTAGCAGGAAAGATTCTGGATGCAGAGAATAAAAAACCTCAGCTAGTCAGGACAGAAGAGGGCCCACTGCTTTGTATGCTTTCTCTTTGTGTGAGAATGGAGATATGGGTGGAGATCAGGGTCAACTTAAATCTTTGTCAGACCAGGTTTCCAGGCTTCATTCTGCCACGGATGAGATTATGGCAGGCCTTTGAGGTATGAGCCATAGGTGGAAAATACCCACCTCTTTAATCCTTAAGAGCATCTCTGAGCTCTCAAATCAGGCATCCCCCACTAGTAAAATTTAGCCTTCCAGAGTTGAGGACAATTGCTGAATCTAGCAGGCATTTATACCTCTACTTCCCTTAACCAACTCCTTTTGCATTCATTTCTATGGTTCACAACTACCATTGTTTTTCCTAATGATTATCTTGTGATTCAGTACATTTGGTCTGATGAGCCAGAGATTACATAACACATGGTGGAAAATTTTACTGAAAATATTGGTAACTGTTTTGACATGTCAGGAATTGAACGGAGTTCATGTAGAGAGCATAGTTTATGTAACAGTGCTGATTGCTACAACCAATAGAGATTTTATTGGAAATGTAATAATAAAAGGATTTAACTTCTGCTGAGCCCATTCTTTGTGTCTGGACCCATAGTGAGGACCTTCTCATCCTTCTCTCTTTTCATCTTCCCAGGAACCTGTTAGGGATATGGTTTGTGCTTTATCAATGAAGAAATTAAAGTTAACAGAATTTAATCACTATGCTCAAGAGTTTGTACTTTAATCCTTAGAGCCCAGTTTTGAACCTAGACCTCCTTGATTTCAAAAATCTTCTAAACTATCCCACTGTGAATCAATCACTCACATTTTCAAGGCTGATCAATAACAGCTCTGCTGCCTAATAGCTGTGTGACCTCAGGGAAATTATTTAACTGCTCTTTGACTGTTTCTTAATCTGATAAGTGAGGGCAACCATATCTTCATCATAGGATCATTGTGAAGATTAAATAAATTAATATGTGTGAGGTATTTAAAAGACCTACCTAGCCACCATTTTTATATATGTTATCTGTAGTTATTAATGATGATGATTGAGATGATAAGGAAACCATGCACTTTCTGTCTTAAAAACTCAAAGTGAATAGTCATGCTCAGTATCTCATCATGACTTTGTGTGCTCCAGCAGTAGGGTTGATTATATTTGTGTATATATTCTTTGTTTCCCCATACTTTTCTACCAGTTTAACTTAAATAAAATTACAGAGAATTAGGAGCATTAATTTATTCAAAATTAAATTCACATGTAATTTTCTTAAACATAAATTGAGAAAACTCTTTGGTTTCTGTCTTTGAACTTCTTTGAGTTCCTGAAATAAAATTTATATTTGATCTAAGAAGACAGGGTGGCATCTTTGACAACTGGATTCTAGTAAACTTAAAAAAAAAAAAAAAAACAAATAAATGGGATTTGAAAAGCCAACATATATTGAAGATGAAGAACAAATCTGAAGGCCTGATACTACAGGACTTCAGTCCTTACTATAAAACTATAGTAATTAAGACACTGTGGCATCGATGAAAAAATTGACACATAGATTAATGGAACAGAATAGAGATCCCAGAAATAGACCCAGATAAATAGAATCAACCGATCTTTGACAAAGGAGCCAAAGCAATACCGTGGAGTAAAGTTAGTCTTTTTAACAAATGGTACTGGAGCAACTAGAAATCCACATGCAAAAAAATGAATCTAGACACAGACCTTACACCCTTCACAAAAATTTATTCAAAATGTATCACAAGCATATATGTCAGTGCAAAACTATAAAACTCCTAGAAGGTGACATTGGAGAAAATCTAGATGACCTTGGATTTGGTGATAACCTTTAAGATGAAACACCAAAGGCATGATCCATGACAAGAAAGAATTGATAAACTGGAAATTATTACAATTAAATATTTCTCCTCTGAAAAGGATGATGTCAAGAGAATTAGAAGAGAAGTCAGAAACTAGGGGGAAAAATTTGCAAAAGACATATCTAATAAATAAGTGTTACCTAAAACATACAAAGAACTCTTAAAACTCAACAATAACAAAACAGACAACATGATTTGAAATGAGCCCAATATTTTAATAGACACCTCACCAGAAAGGTGTACAAATGACAAAGAAGCGTTTGAAAAGATGTACCACATCAAAAGTCATCAGGGAAATGCAAATTAAAACAACAGTGAGATACCACTGTATACTTATCATAATGGTCAAATGCTGACAAGGGTGTGGAGGCACAGAAACTCTCATTGATTGCTGGTGGGAATGCAAAATGGCACAGCCACTTTAGAAGACAAATGACAGTTTCTTACAAAACTATACATACCCTTTATCATATGATTCAGCAGTTGTGCTCTTTGGTATTTATTTACCCAGAAGACTTGAAAACTTTTGTCCACATGAACGCCTACACACAGATCTCATGCCAGCTTTATTCATAATTGCCGAACATTGGAAGCAACCGAGACATCCCTTCAATAAGTGAGCAGATAAATAAAACTGTGGTACAGTCAGACAATAGAATATTATTCAATTCTAAAAGGAAATTAGCTATCAAGCCACAAAAAGACATAGAGGAAACCTAAATGCCTATTACTAAATGAAAGAAACCAATCTGAAAAGGCTACATACTGTATGATTCCATGTATATGATACTGTGGAAAAGGCAAAACTTTGGAGACAGTAACAAGATTAGTGGTTGCCAGGATTAAGGGTGGGGAGCTAGAGGTGAATAGACAGAGCACAAAAGTTTTAGGGCAGTGAATATACCCTGTATGATTCTATGTTATACATATTTTGTGTAGTTTCAAGTTTTTATTTAAATTCTAGTTAGTTAACATAAACTGTGTTAAACTATGTTATACATTGGTCCAAACCCACAGAATGTGTAACACCAAGAGTGAATCCTAAGCTACACTGTGGACTTTGGGTGATTATGATGTGTCAGTGTAGGTTCATGTTGTCATAAGTGTACCACTCTGGTGGGGGATGCTGATGATGACGAGGCTGCACATGTGTTGAGGGAGAGAGTATATGGGAAATCTCTGTACCTTCCTTTCAATTTTGCTGTGAACTGAAAACTACTCTTAAAAAATAAGGTCTTTTATAACAAAATAAGTGAATAATTTGCATATCATTGCCTTGGAATAAGGAATCAAGATAACTAAAATGTAAGAAACATTTACTCAGCTTTCCCATTTGTATGGAACATAGAGATGTTAACGCTGTCTTAACTTACTTGCTCCCTGTGATGGTCAGGCTGCATGGAGCCTGAGCTGAGCCTGAGTTTTCTTGTCTAAAATATATGTTGATACGTGTGAGTTGTGATCAGAGATCAAACAGGTCAACAAAGAAGTAACAGAGAAGGGACTAAGGTGCAAAAACAAGGTTCTTTCCTAGAAATTCATATCTAGGTTGACATAAAAGTTACTTAAGGCTGTGATGTGTCTGAATATTGGTAGTAGTGCTCATGTGCCTCAGCACAGGCTTTAAATAGCCTTTGGAGTTTGTGACAGCTTTATGCTCTGATAAGTATGTGTTTGTAGATAATTCAGGCTGAGTTTAAAGGTTCGCAGCAGGGATTGCATAAAGTACTATGAAAATGGTATTGAATGTGATCTTAAATATCTTATTTTTTTTTAATTCTGAGTTCACTTTAAGTGTAGAAATCTTCATAGTCACAAAGGTCAGCAGTGAAACTTTTTCATCACTGCTCAGAACTGATAAGTGTTTCATACACACATATGCCCTCCCATCTCATTCATCCATTAGCCAGTCCTTGATTATCTGCTGTCACTTTTATAAACATGCATGCACACACATTCATACTCACACGCTCACAATTCCAGATGTAAGCCCTTATTGGTTTACATTACTTTTACTTCTCAGAAGTATGAAGATAGGCAGACTGGAAGGTCTTCTAATGCGCTGATTCAGGTATTTTCATCATTGATCTACTTCATTAAGAACAGATCTCAGAAGATTAAATATTTTAAATATAAAAAATGAAACTAAATTCATTTAGGATTCTTAATATGCCCTCTGTGTAACTATGAGGTTTGTCTCTTGCTGCCTTGAAGCTGAGCAAAAAAGAGTAAACAGTGGCCTCACTCTCCAGTCCATGTGGACTAGAAAAAATGATCACACAAACAACTACTGATTTGTGCTTTGTTAAAAAGAAAATATTTCCATTCTAGAACACAAAAGGAGTAAAAACAACTTGCGGCTGTTTAAGGATTAAACTGATTTCTTCTGTATCTTTGAAGCAAACAAACAAACAAAGACTAAGATACAATCCACATACCCCCACACCTGAAAAAATCAGGTCTATGGTCGGGGCATCTTTCTGCTGCCACTTTGCCTGCCTCTAAACTTTTCTCCACATTGTGAAAAACAGATGCTTAAAAGCCATCAGTAACTCACTCCACATTACTCAAAGGATAAGTTCCCAAATCCTTAGTTGGTTTGTCAAACCATCCATCATTTGTCTTCTTTCACACCCCCAACATCATCCATCTCCCTTTGCCATATTGTATTTTAACATCCAGCCATACTGGGTTTTCTTGAGCACATACTGAGGACTATTCTTTCTGCCCAGATCCCTGTCTGCCCTCATCATATACATTCACTTGATTACCTCTAATACATTCTTCGGATGTAATATTTACCTTCCAGGTGAAGTCTTTAGCCCTCAAATTAAGTGGCTCCCGTTTTTGTGTTCTCGTAGTGTCAAGGCACATCTGTTTCACACACTATTATAGTCATATATTTATTTTTTAAACATTTATTTATTTTTGAGAGAGAGAATGACAGAGAGAGACAGAGTGTGAGCAGGTGATGGGCGTGGCACAGAGCATGATGGGGGGCTCAAACCCATGAACTGTGAGATCATGACCTGAGCTGAAGTCCAACACTTAACCTACTGAACCACCCAGGCACCCCTATAGTCATATATTTAAAATAATGTGTCTAACTCTTGAATGCTGAGAACAAACGGAGGACTGATGGGTGTGGGGCGAAGGGGGGTGATGGGCATGGAGGGGGGCACTTGTGGAAATGAGCACTGGGTGTTATATGGAAACCAACTTGACAATAAACTATTAAAAAATAAAAAAATAAAATAAAATAATGTCTCTCAGACCTTGATATGCATAAGAATGATATGGGGATCTTGTAAAAATGCCAATTCTGAGTCAAGGAGATGTCATCACTGCAGGCCCCAGAGCGCACACTAAGTAGCAAGGACTTAGAGACTGTCTGCTTCTCTGGACCTGGGGACAGGATCCTCAGAGCCGGAATCACAGCAGGCCCTGAGTTAACAGCCTCTAAATGAGTTTCAAAAGCAACAGAATTTTGACAATATAACATTTTCATTTTAAAATACAAGCAGTGCTTACAAATAACCATTTGGGAAGAACTTTGTTAACTTCCTTCCCTCCTTCTGTATCTTGGCATATCCATCTGTTCTTCCTGTCTCTTTGCCTCAAAGTTCACTGGTATCTGGAATTTCTACCCAATCCCCTGCTTTTCCTCTATTCCTTTTACACCCTGGAGGCATTTTCAATGATAGCACTTCTGAAAATAAAAAGTAAAGGAAGCCAGCATAGAGAGATGAAGAAAAATGAACCTCTGTTCTCCTCTTCAGATACCAGTTGAGTTACTTTCTTGTTTCTCCCAATCTAACCTCCTTGGACTGCATCAGACCATTTATAAAAGAATCCCAAACACATCCCTAGATTCCACTTTGGTATTGTAATGCTCAACATTGTTGCCTGTATGTTCCTGAGAAATGGAAATGAACCTTTTATCAGTCATTCATTTATATAAAGACTTGTAAGTAAAGATTTGATCATGTTTTGAGCCTATAAATACATTTTTAGATGAATACTTACCTGGGGCTTGAGGGAGAGAAGTCATGTAGTCATTTTGTCCCAAATGTTTATAGTTGGGTGTATTGTGAAAATGGAAAAATGAAAATTGTCATAAACTCCCTGTGGTCCCCTTACCACCCGTATACCCAGCCCTTGTCTCAAATACTTGGAGCATTCACTGTAGCAAAGGAGGAAATTGGTGAGAACATTTTATGAGAAATAATTTTCTTACCAGGTGGACAGCCTTTTAATAGTACAGGCACTGGTTTTCTCCTGTTAGGGTTAGACATGCTTCCAAGCAGACAAAAACCATCAAGTAAAACATTGTTTCAGGGAGATCATGTGTACTTAGAAACCTCAGACACCTGTGGTTTTAGGAAACCACAGATTGACTTTTCTGCTAGGACATACAAATCTTTGTTAGGCTTCAAGCTTATTTAATGTCCAAAGGAATAGTATAAGGGGGAAGGTTAATTAGTCTGGATTTCTATGTAAAATTTATGGTGTGACTTATAGAATGTATGTTCTATATCTTTCCCTCTCTCTCTCTCTGGTATGTAGTCTAGCTACATGATAAGTAAAAGGTGTATTTATATTACTGTATCCATATATCTAATTCACATCTTCCACATTTGCATTTCATGTATATATATGTGTATATGTGTATACTCTATATATTTTTTAATGTTTATTTATTTTTGAGAGACAGAGCATGTGCGGGAGAGGGGCAGAGAGAGAGAGAGACGGAGACAGAGACAGAGACAGAATCTGAAGCAGACTCCAGGGTCTGAGCTGCCAGCACAGAGCCCGACACAGGGCTTGAACTCACAAGCTGTGAGATCATGACCTGAGCTGAAGTCAGACACTTAACTGACTGAGCCACCCAGGTGCCCTTATATTTTCATGTCGTGAGAGCTGAGGTATGAAAGAGATCAGAATAAAACTTCTTGGTAAATGTGTAGATTTGTCCACTACCAAGATATTAGACAAAATGTAAATTTCATACTAAAAATGCCATCCCCCCAAATACAAAGAGAATAGAACAATTATACTAGGGTGTGAATTCTAGCAAATTAAAAGAAGTATCTTCATGATCTCTATTTCTAATTATCTGACAGAGTGCTGTTAATAACTTTCCTGGAAGCCACACACACAGCAGTAGCACTTAATTATGATGTGGTCTTAAAATATAACACAATGCACTTTTTCTGTGGCCTTCAAGAGCACACTGGCAGCAGAGCCTACCATAATGAACTGTCCCGAAGCCTCAAGATGCTGTTTTCAGCAATTTTGCATTTGAGTGTTCAGATTCTACAGTGTCAGAAGTCTGACTTGAATGTGCTCTGCTACAGTAACTTCACAATATTCAGATTTTTTCTTTTCTTCATTTAAGGCCAGTTTCATTAAAAAACATATAGAACATTGCATATAAATAGCTGCCATGAGCTAAGAACTAGATACAAGCCCAAGATTATTCAGGATAGGCTGATGATTATTTTGCCCAATGGATTTCTTTTTGTAGCAACACACACATTAAAAAAGGGCCTTCACACTCCCCATGGTTCTCAGTGGTGAGCGCACCAGCCTGTAATTAGCAGCACACAGTTATTCAGACATCTATTTGCAATCAAGAAAATACATCATTCCTTTTCTTTTGATATTTTGTTTCACATCATGTAAGTGTATGTCTAAAGTGTTAATAAAATTACAAATTACACGTTTGATGATTAGATAGGATAAAATCTCTGAAACATCCTCAGGTTCCCTGCAGTTTTCTTCCTTTTACAGACATTATACCCATTTTGCTACTTCTTTCATCTTAATTTGAAAACGTAAGGATAAGGAAAAGAGAGAAAAAGGAAAAGTTAAGTCTTCCTAAAAAAAGACCATTATGCTGAATACTAACTACGAGAACAAGTCATCATTCCTGGGAATTAGAAGGAGGCCCCTTAAATGCATCTCTGCTATTTTTTAAGGTTTAAGATATTTTACTTCAATTTTAATTCACCACTATCCTGGGTCAATTTTTTTTAAATTATAGGAATTTTTTTACCACTCATGGTTGGTTTGTTTGTTTGTTTTTTAATATATCAAGTGAGCACTTAACTGTTCTTTTTGGAGTCACTCTGGGGTGTTGCATTAATTTTAGCTGTAGGATAACAATAAAAAGTAATTTTAGTAAACTACAAGATAACTTAGGGGCCTCATAAATGAAAGCACTTTTCAGAATGCCAATTGTTGAAGACATCCTTAATGTTCCCTCAGCTTGACTAACTCCAGACAGACTGCTTCATCATTATAGGCCCCTCACCTCCCTGTTCTGAGAGCATTAGCTTTAGAAAACTTGAAATTGTCAATTCTTTCCCACCCTTTTGAGGTACCGATCATCTCCTAGGCTCTCGCCAGTTTTATATCTCAAGGATGCCTTTCTCAAAGACTTCTGAGCCTTCCCTTTGATATGTCATCATTAAAGGAGCTAAGGCACCCTCTCTCTAGAGTTCATGGAGGAGTAAGAGTCTAACTTTAATATATAAGTGTCAATTAGCAAATACAGATAGCCTAATCACTTTGACCGATTCCCTTCTTCAAAGTCCTTCAGTACTTTTCCACTAGCTCATCCCAGTGCTTAAAACCTGTCTCACCTTTTGTTTTGGTAGAGTTGAGTTTTTTCTTCCCTACTGCGGTTGTCTGTCATAAAGTCTTCCTTGCCTGTTTAATTCTGTCTGGTGCATGTTTCCTATGACATTATTAAGACCTCAAGTTTCCTGTAAAGGAATCTGGATCAATGTAAATAGATTTTTTAAAGGCTTTTTAATGAATATTCTAAGACCTAGAAATGCCTTATCTACCTGCAATTACTGTGTCTTACCCTTTTAAACCATACTACATTTTTTGCCTACCTTTATCATTCATGGTGAAATATTCCTAAAATGTAATAAGCCTTCTATTTTTTCCTCAACATGAAGAAAACTTTGTTTCCCAAAGTGAAAATAGTTGTGTTTATGTGTGTGTGTGTGTGCATGTGTGTGTGATTAAACAATACTGCACACGTAGAAAATGCAAACACTGAAATCCAGAGATTCA